TGCAGATCTCAAAGAGAATTAAGAGTGGCATTGATGATGACTCTGTTGACAAACATCTGATTGCTAGAAGATCAAGGTTTAAAGCTTGTCCTGCTTTCTGTCTCTTGAGAATTGGATATAGATCGCACCTCGTGTTTTCTGAATACATATTATAAAGAGCCTGTATTTCCCCCCCTACAAACTGGGCCATCCTCGCTGCATCAGGAAGGAAGGAAGGAAGTGCTGTTTCATTTCTAGATATACAGGAATATATACCAGGATATATTCTTCAAAGCGTGACAAATTTGCTAAGGAATCGGAAAATATAGATGTAGGCTTAGGAGACATTATATAACATGACACTACCAACATGCCTATTTGAACTTATTGAATGAATAATTATTTACAAGGAAGATAATACTTTATCTATAAAGAAAGTTGAGTGAGAAGATATTGGCTGAGTAGATTACAAGTCAAATAGGTTATGTGGAGAGATACATCTATAAGCTTAAGCAATGATCATGTAAGAATTCTGAAGAAATTAGTGTAGAGCTTAGGTCATCAGTTCTCCGTTGTAATTTGCAGAAGCGCACTGTAATGAATGCACTACAAGTCTACAACGAGGATAACTAAACGCAAGACTTGCACGATATGCCCATATCATTTTTTTTTGGATATAGCACACATATAGGAGACCTTGATAACTTGTTGGTAGAGACTGGTGGCACTGTGTAGTCACCATGCATTTAAACAGGGTAATAATACGAATGCTATCCATAACTTATGGTAAAGATTTTACTTATGAAACAAAAAAGTGTAATGAAGATTCTAACTCCAGTGCTACTTTGGAGTGAATGAACATACCTATAAAACTAGAGTAAACTGGATAAGGCTACTGCATTTAATTAGTGATGGCACTTGATTTACAGACAAATAATATGTTTATATGATCAATTTTTTTTTACTGCTAAACATGTAGGAGTGCTATTGGCTTTATTGCTAAAGATATGAAGTATTCGAAGTAGCATAAACAAACTTTTATCCTGCCTTACTAAGAGGCTTGTGTTAGATTATTAGTTAGTGCCAGGTGCCTTACTATCACCTTGCACCTTGGTTTTTTTCTTTGTTCCTTATATCTCCCATTGTTGTTTCTTATCATGCACGTGATCACCTTATCACTCCATAAGTTGGATGCTTGAGAAAATGTTAGATTCTTAGAAGTTAGCCCTAACGGGAATGCTCTTACCTTATTGCCCCATGCATTTTCTTTCCTCTTTTCTTTTTTTCCCTTTTCTTCGTTATTTCATGATCACAGAGAAGTATCTTAATTTCTAACAGCATTTTGTCCCTGTCTCTGTCACAGTCCCATTTTGGAGGTTTCTTGCCTTTTTGCAGAAATGATGCAGCATGGTCTTCGTTGTATTGCATTTTGCAAAACACGCAAACTTTGTGAGCTTGTTTTATGTTACACGTAAGTAAAATTGCATTATAGAATCAAATGGTTCATTCTCATTTTATCTTCTATTAACAGTTTGGTGTGCTGGAATGACTTTTTTTCCTAAGGCGTGAGATTCTTCAGGGAACAGCACCTCATTTAGTTGATACTATATGCGCTTACCGAGCTGGTTATGTTGCTGAGGTTAGCATCTATAACTTGGTTCAAGAGAGTTTGCTCATCCCCTTTAGTCAATCTTTCCCAAGGAAATTTACTAAAACAGTTGTTTTTCATGTTGCTCTAAACTTGCCTGCAATTGGCTTGTATAATTTATTCAATTTTGTTCATTTTGATCCGTTGTAAAGCATCCATATTCCCACTTGTTCAATATTTATGCGCTTCTAAAATAGCATTATTCATACATTATAGGCTTATAATTATGACTGATGCTCTTCATAAATAAAATAATTTGTCGCTAATGTGACCAGGAGGTCACGGGTTCGAGCTGTGGAAACAGCCTCTTGTAGAAATGCAGGGTAAGGCTACGCGATAGACCCTTGTGGTCCGGCCCTTCCCCGGACCCGCATATAGCGGGAGCTTAGTGCACCGGGCTGCCAATGATATACTTCAAGCTAGTCTGCAAATTTGCCAAGTGATTTCTGCCTTGGATTCTTTGGAAATGAATGAGTGGAAAGAGATTTATAATGAGATTACTTTTTTCTTGTTAGACATAAGACTTCATTTAGAGAGCACTACACTAGTTCTGCATGCAGACAAACTGTATTTCTAAGGAATACTTTCTTGTAAGCAAGGGCTTAAAGTACTTTCACCTATCAAAAGAAATGCTGTATTACTACTAAATCATTCGGAGCTTTGGATGTGTTTACTCCAGATTATTCCATGGTACTGTACCCACACAAGAGTTGGTTCTCGTTAGATATAAGCGACCAACGAAGAGCTGATGTTCTCAGGATACAACCAAAAGAAAAAACACAACACTGTCTTGCCCATGCAG